TACAGCATGGGGACAAGTGAGAGCCAGACAGGCACTAGGTGACTGTCCCTTGCTGAGGAAAACAACTAAATCTAAGCAAACAGAACTTCTAAGAGGCCAAGAGTAGAACATCATCATATGCATTTTTTTGTGCAGACCTGACAGGAGGAACAAAAGAAACACCCAGATGCTTCAGGCAACTTTGCATTTTCTAAGGATTCTGCTAAAGGAAATTTATCAAAGAGAAATAAAAACCCATCCCTCCTAAAACAGGGGTAAAAAGTTCAAGGATTCCAATGCACCCAAGAGACCTCCATCAGTCTTTTTGTTCTGTTCTGAGCATCATCCCCAAATTAAAGAAGAACAAGTGGCCTATCATTAAGTGATGTTGCCAAGAAGTAAGGAGAGATGTGGAACAACACTGCTGCATATGACAAGCAGCCTCATGAAAATAAAAATGCTAATATTGATAAAATTCTCAAATGAATGACTCCAGCTCACACTTAAACTAGAATTAAAGAATTAAACCAAAACTAAGCAGAAAATAAATACTAAAGGGCAAAAATCAGTGAAATAAAAAATAGATATAAGCAAAAATCTGAGAAAAATCTCTTGCTAAACTAATCTAGATAAAAAGAATAATATGTTAACAGTGTTAAGAATGAGAGACATCCTACAGATGTTACAAGGGGATATTATTAACTTCACACCAATGCAGCAATGTGTTTTAAAACACATCCTTTAAAAACATACAACACCAAAGCTCATTTAAGAATAATACAACCCTGTATCTATTCTTAATATTGAATTTGTAATATTAAAAGCAAAAGCATATTCTAGGTTAAGGTTGGCTTTAGGTTGGTTCAGGTTGAGGAATTCTACATAATGACACAAATTCATTCAGAAAATTAAAGATTAGGGAACACTTTCCCACTAAAACTGCTATGTATGACTCTCATATAAAAGTAAGAAAAACTGCAAACCAATTTAAAAAGTTTAAGTGAATATGAAAAGGGCCTGAGGTTGGAAGACCAATTAGTAGACTATATATATAGATCAAAAAGACTGAATTTAATACTATAAACAGTGATTCTGTCCCATGTAACCAATCATGATTGAGACAAGGGCACATTTATTGCAGAAGAAATACAGAATTTGTGGTTGAGGGTAGGGTCAAATCAGAAATTAATGGTGGTAATGAGGAAGTAGGAAGAGTGGTGCATTCACTTAGYGTTGTAAACTGAATGCTTTGTTTGGAGCAGGAGTTTTTGGTTCTGACATGTCTCCAGTATTATGAGTTCTTTGTCAGATAATTGGAAATGTTAAGACTTTAGCTTCAGCTCAGGAAAGGGTAATGCACTACCAGAGGTCATGCCTCTATAACTGATCCATTTTCCACCTCAGTCATACGGTGGCTAATGCATTAGAATAGTATGATTTTTAAAAAACATTACTATTCTTTCCATGAGCCTTTTCATAATATAAGAAAATGATAATTATAAAAAACTAAATGTAATATAATTATACAACTTAATTATAACCCAGTGATCTTTCAAAACTAATGCAATGACTGGTCATGGTGGCACACACCTGTGTGCAAGGGGACTGCCAAGTTCAAAGCCAGCCTCAGCAATTTAGTCAGGCCCTACGCAACTTAAGAGCTGGGCATGTCGCTCAGTGGTTAAGCAACCTGGGTTCAATCCCTGGTACCAAAGAGTGCAATGTAAAATTTCATGTAGAAGTCTACTGTCAAAAGCAGCTGGTAATCCCTAGAAGTCCTGTGGAGAAGGTCACACACAAAAAACCCACTACTGGCAAGTACAGTTTAAAGGTCTCTTCTATCCAYCCTTGCACAAACAGTTTAACATATTTGGAAACTCAAACAGTTCATGGCCTTTAACCATAATTAAGATAGCTCATCATCTCTGGGCCAACTAAGCCATGAAATCTTCTTACAGAATTCTAAATCTATACATTCAACAGGTAGCCTGTTTTCAAACTTTCAACAATACGCTGTTTTAAATGACCACCCTGAGGTCTTACAGCACATTTACCAGAGAGCTACACTTCTGATAAAGGGGAGAAAGCATTCCGCTTGCTGTTAAACACAAAAACGTCAATTTGGGTGGTAATTTTTAACCCTGGAAAAGCCTATAACCATCTCTCAGTTATAAAAACAAGTTGTGACTCTGGAAATAAATGTCCCAGAAATAGGCGAAATTACTACAACAGTGGCAAGATTTTAAGATTTTCATTTTATTAAAAATATAGTGACATAATAGCAGCAGCAGCAGCATCTGATAAATCTTTACTAGTACCATTTAAAAGTAATCCTACGCACATAAATATACACCACCTATGCAGAATCTTAATGTAACATTTTAAACTCTTCCCTTGAAAATCTATAGCACTGTTCTATTAAACTAATYAAGGTTAGGAGGATAATTATTTAACTATTAAATTGATTTATACAGCTACACAGTATATTCAAATTTAACCTTTTGTGGAAATCACGAATTCTCTAGGTTATTCCCTGACAATGTGTTATCTATACCTATACCCCTAAACTGGTGGAAATCACTCTCTTCTTTCAGTATGATTTTCATGAATCTGAATTTACATTTATGAAGTTACCTGACTAGTAAATAAAAATTAATCAAGATTAGAAGAAACTAACATTCATGCTAATCCTGGGAAAATTAAATTTAGAGGCAAAATATGTGAAGTCTCCTCAAAATTGACAATTTTCCAAATTAAAATGTTAACTAGACATAAATTTAAAAATCAGGCAACATATTAAAACCTACTTAAAAATATTAAGACATGTTAACATTTGGGGCTGGAGGGGAAGCCCAGTAGTAGAACACTTGCTTAAATCTGATCCCCAGCAATCCCCAAAAGGAAATGTTGTATCACATATAAACAGAAAATTTTGACAAATTATAAAGGTACCTTAACACATTAATTCCCAAATTTTTAATTTTCTATCAATGAAATTGACATAGGTACATTAAAATAGTTTGGAAATCATAGTCTAGAGCTTATATGTCCTTTACATATTTTCAAACATTCTAATTAATCATCATCTATTTTCTCAAAAGAATAGACCTCTGAAAACAATTATTTCAAAGTTACTTTAAGTGATATACTTGTTGCTCCATTTATGGTTTTATAGTTAGTCATTCCACATCACAGATTGGAAAAAATGGGTTAAACTGGAATGAAAAGATCCACATTAGGTACTGTATCTAACCTGACCAAATATGGACCAAATACCATAAACGGCTTTAGCTTTTATTTCTAAAATATCACTCTCTTCATGCAAAAATCACCAATAAAAGTATCCTAAAATAAAAATTTCACCCATAAACCTAAGATGAAGTAGGAAAGTCAGTTTTATTTTTAAAAGATTATTTTATTATATTTATACTAGACTCCTGCTTCCAGAAATAAGTTAGCCCTTAAAAGCACTAACTTTTGAATTATGAAAATAATTCAAAGTGACTACGACATCAGTAAATGAACATATGAGAATACTAAACATGTAGGAAGTAAAAATAAAAAAATATTTAAACACAAAGAGCACATGATCACTGTACTTTTACTTTGTAGGAATGGTTCAACTTCAATAACCCACTCAATTAAAATCAAATACTATCTTTTACCATGAAAATATAAGAAATGACATTWCTGAAATGTTGTTATTCAATTCAATGCATCCCTCCAAAAAGACTTGATTTTAATTGCTAATTCAACTAAAGTTAAATGAAAATAATCTGCATTTATAATACAGTGCAGATCAAAAAAATTGAAGTTTTAAAAGCCTATTACTATACTTAAAATCCTTAAAATTTGAACAGTCTCTTCAGTTGTGAGATTTGAATCAGTTTTTTGTTTTCTCAACTTTTAAAATAAAGATAGCAACATACACACACATAGAAATGACTGGGGATCCTGAAAATGATTTATATAAAATTATTTTCTTGACAAAATAATCTTTTGGTTATAAATACCAGCTTTATTGTTAAGTGAGCATGTCAAAATTTAAGCTTCTAACAGTGAAGATCAAGGTAGGTATTTCTTCAAAAGAATTCTAAACATGGGCAAAGTCACAAGATGACTTGATTATAAGCTAATTAGGTTAGATGGAAAATAGAAGCTAAGAAGACAACTGTGTAAGTTAAGGATTTACAAGTTTTTGCACGTGAAACTGACTGGCTAGTCAGTTATGAAGACCATCTTTTGTTCAACAAGCACTGCTGAAAAACAAGTATGATTTAAGAAAAACAGAGTGCCTTCTCTGTAATTAAGCTTAAAAAGAATCACAGAAGATACGAAGTGTAAAAGGGCTGCCTTCTTGGCCTTACCTCAAGTTTTCCTGACATCTACTGGGGAGATGAAAAAAATAATTTTAAAGGAAAAAACACAGTAACCTTAATGAAAATAATAAACAAATGGAAACATGTCAACTCTTARGTGAACAAAATGAAAACTCATCTCTCTGTCTCACACACACATATACATACCCACACACACATCTAGACCCTAGTAGGCTTTGCTTCCATGTAAAAAAAATGTCAAATCTTACATTCCTAGATTCTCAGCTTTTTAATAGAATTTTTTTGTAGTTGTAGATGGACAACATGCCTTTCTTTTGTTTATTAGTATGTGGTGCTGAGGATCGAACCCAGTGACTCACACATGTACTCTGCCACTGAGCTACAACCCCAGYCTGATTCTCAGTTTTTGAAAAAAAATCACTCAAAATTAATATTACTTTACAGCTGAATAAATATCCTCAGCAATAAAATTAGTGGTAGGAATAAAATTAAATATTAATTTCCAACATAAAAAAACACTTAGAGAGTCCAGAGTACAAGAAAATATTTAAACTTGAAATGACTAATTTGTAGACAGATACCACACAAACATACACTCGCCATGTCAAAACAATCTCTGTGCTAACTAAATCAAGAGCAGGATGAAAACTAAGATCTTATTTTGAAATGTATAAACAACTATTTTCCTCTAAAATACTTAGCTTTATTAGAGAAATGGTACTAAAAATAACAGATTCAAACAACATTTGCTCTATTCTACTTACATATCATAAATAAGACAGCTGTTGATACAAGACACACACTCCTTCACAATCTTTCCATATGCACCCAAGCATTCTTGTATCAGAATAAACTGTTTACCAGCCAACCTTATGTGGTTGAATGATTACAATGACCACCTATACTTTACATAGTAAAGCATTTTCCAAAATTTTAATGTACACAGTGACAAAAAAGGAGAAAAAAAAAAAAACCACAGTAATTCTGAACATATGAAGATGATTAAGCAGCTTCAAAATCAAACCAGGCTTCATAACTTGCAAAAAGAACAACTCTTTCCATTCTCCATCAAATACTTAAGTTTCAACAGTATTAACATTTAAAAAGAAGACTCAAGTTGAAACCAAGTAACTAACATGCTACTCAGCTTTTTAAATCTGTAAAAAGTAACTCGTCCCATGAGGTAAGGCAACTGAGTAATTTGATTGTATTAGATTGCATTAAAATAATTATACTTGATTYTTAATAAAATGCTAATTAAAAGTACTTTTGGAAATATAACAATAATGAAAAGAGTTCAGAAACTACGAGTTATAGTTTTGGGGGAAAATATTAGATATGTTGTCATTTTACTACTTGTATACTTTCTGCAAAAAGTGAATGATGGATGACCTGTATCTTAAACTCAAGTAAACATAGTCTTAAACAAAACAAATAACCTCCCATATATTCCTTGTCCTCCCTTTAAGTATAATTTCTGCAGATTGTTTATGGGAAAATGATTGAGAGGTAAAAATTAAGGCCATCCAATGTAGTCAACTAAATGGTTTCCTTTGAGGAAAATAGAGCATGTTTCATTTTTAGTTATCACAGTTATATATAAAACTGATGGTCCCAAAACTGCACTGTTGTTTTAAACTCTAAAGTCAGTCTTGAAAACAAGGTTTCCTTCTCATATGAAGTGAACTAAGTTAAGCTCTTCTGACATATCACTTGCATACTTCTCTATGGTGTGAATACCTAGATTCCATATGAATTGAGAATGACTAGCACATATAAAATTCTAGAAAACAGTATACCACATTGTAGAAGGCACTAAAGCTTTAGCTTGTGCTCCCGTAGCCCATTTTGAAAACCCAGTTTCCTTTTTATGAGGGCATCCTTGCCACCTACAGCTGACAAGTCACACTGCAATATTATTCATAATAAAACTTGGAAATGTCAAGAAAGTTCAAAAAGAAATGCTTACTCTGTTTGTGGGTAGACCCAATGATTCTAAACACTGAATACTAATACATTAGTATTAGTATTCAACACAGTTACTCTTCCTTTTGAAAAAGAACAGTAGCATGCATTGTCAGTTGTTTTTTAATCCACTTATTTAAGCAATTTTAATTGTAAAACTATTTTAAAGAAAAACTGCTGTCCTAAACAGTGAGCAAAAGAAAACACAATAGTGAGAATTTAACACAATCACTGTAAATCCTGTGAAGTAAATGTTAAAACTTCTTACATACTTTGCACTTACAAGGGTGTGTATATATTTGCACCAATTTCAAGCACAYCATCAAACTGTATATATCGAAATTTTTTTTTAAAAAAAGTAAAACAATACAAAATTCAGTAACTAGCATTTTTTTTTTTTTTAAGAGCCTCCAATGTTTACCTCCAGTCTCTAGGGAAAGTACAAATTTGGATCAATAATGTTCAATTTATTTGCAATGGTTCTTGGCAAACACTAACAATCACATGACAAGTGTGTCAGCCACCATGGAAACACAGTTTTTAGAAGATGAGGGGTTTGGGTAACATCTGGTATTTTCATGATGTCCATGCTTTATTTTCTTACTCAGTAACAAGATGTCCATAACATCACCTAACAATTAGAAAAGCTGTTAGCTTCTAACTTCATATTCGGCTAGATTTCTTCCCTGTTTACATCTTGTTGAGAGAATTAAAAGCTTTGGATTTTATTCCACCTTTGAGTGCAGAGGTGCATAAGTCTGTCCTATACTGCTTCTGTTTTGGTAGAGAGGTTTTCTTCATTTGGTTGACAATTCCCATTTTGCTGTACTTTGTTTTCCTCAGTCCTTGGTACATCCTTATCATCTACTTCTTTGCCCACAGTTGAATCTGGTTCTTTATTGTGCTCCTTCTCCTACAATAAATATGAAGGTAATCATTTACTATTCCCCTCAAGAGTTACTGCTACTATGGTTAAATGACATCTTAGTGAATTAATAAAACTGGATTTACTTTCATTATTTATTCATTAAAAAGAACATGCAAAATGTATCAATTTGACCACTTCATTTCTCATAAAACATGGGAACTAAGTTAGAACAGGTGAACAGAAATTCTAAAGAAGCACAAATATTGTGGATACGACTTGAAAAAGTGAGATCAACCTGCTAAAAGCATGAAGTTACTTCCAAAAATGCCATAAGAAGAAAAAATAAAGGAAGTAAATATTCCTCTTACAAAAGACTGTTTAAAACAATTCAAAGGCTGAGACAGGAGGACTTCGAGTTCAAAGCTAGCCTTAGCAAAAGCAAGGTGTTAAGCAACTCAGTGAGACCCTGTCTCTAAATAAAATACAATAGGGCTGGAGGATGTGGCTCAGTGGTCAAGTGCCCTTGAGTTCAATCCCTGGTACCAAAACACACACAGGTCAAATTTTATCCTTAGCTTAAAGGAAAATTAAATGAGATTCAAGAGTGGCACACAATAAATGATCAATAATTACTATCAATGACAATCCTAACCCTCTACCAGTAGGAAATTACATAATGAAAGTCCCAGAACTCAATTTCTAATACAAACATACTTTACGAGGATGGACAAGGGAATTGACATAATTCACAAGTACTTAAAAGATGTGTTCAAGAAAAAACTTACTTGGTGAAATTTGGTTTTCCATTATATAATTCAACAAACCTAATTAGTAATATATTATTACAAAGCCAATGACTAAAGACAGTCTTGTCAAATTTGCTAAAACAGATGAAAATGGCATCAGGCAGAAATTTTAACAGTATAAATGTGTCAAATACATTTGATGCCCACAGATTTTCTAAACATTTTCTTATTATATGCCATTTTCTGATTCTCTAAAATAAGGAACATAATATTTTAAATCTTAATTGTCTCTCATGTTTTCAAAATTTAATGTAAAAATTTACCAATTTAATAACTATTTTAAAATGCCAACAATGTAAAAACTGTTGCCCTCAAGAAGCATTCAGTTGATAAAGAACAATCTCAATTAATTATTCAATGCCAAATACTGTTATCTACTGCTTACTTTAACTGAAGTACTATTCTTCTCCAACTTCTCCTTTCCATCTCTGTCGTTAGAACTCTTTCTTGTAGAAGTTGAACGCTCTCTCTCTCTTCTTTCACTGATGTGATCCCTTTCTTTTTCTCTCTTTTTATCTTTCTTATTTCTGCTGTAAGAATATTCATAAAATGTCAACTTTTAAGAAATCAGAAACATATCATATTCTTTATCCTTATCTAACACAGGGTATCGAAAATAATATATTTTAAATAAACTTGTAGTAAGTTGGTATGATAAAGTAACAAAAATAGGTCCTATAACCTGACCAATTCCACCCCTTGCCCTAATGAGTTTTTAAAAAAGACACTAGGTCATTTTTGCAGCAGCCATCCAGTGTTTACATAAAACATAATTTGGTACTACAAATATATTACTTTAATAATATTCAGGATTTATTTATCTACTGGAATAAGATAAAATAAAACCAAATACACTCAGCTCATTTGAACCAGTAAGTTCCTTATCCATGAATTCAACCCATCACAGATTTAAAATATGTGGGGCAGCAACTAAGGATGCTCAATCAGAAGGATTACAAGATCAAGTCCARCCTGGGCAACTTAGCAAAACCCAATCTCAAAATTATTTACAAAAAAAATTTCTAAAAAGGGAGGAAAAACTGCATCTGTACTAAACATTTAGACTTTTTTTGGAGGGGGGGGGCGGGTGCTGGGGACATGTGTTCTACCACTAATCTACACACAGGCCCCTACAGAATTTTCTGGTCATTGTTACCTAAAAACTACAGTATAACAACTATTTACATAGCAACTMTTATATATATGTATACAKTCTATAAGTAATTTAGAGATAAAGTTTACAAGAGGATGTGCAGATTACATGCAAATGCTATATATACTATTTTATGTTAGGATTCAGCATTCATGCATTTTGGGATCTACAGGGGGTCCTGGATGCAATACCCCAAGAATACTAAGAGACAGTGTTTGTTTATGAATCTTTTCAAAGCAATACCTGAATACGCAGGAAATAAAAAACAAGAGATAAAGATGTTGGGGCTGGGGTTGTGGCTCAGCAGTATAGCACGTTCRAGGCCCTGGGCTTGATCCTCAGCACCACATAAAAACAAATAAAATAGAGGTATTGTGTCTAACTGCAACTAAAAATAAATATTAAAAAAAAAGAATCAGAGATGTGGCTCCCGGGCAGGGCTGAGTTAACCATTAGCATTAGTATCACCTTGGAAAGTGATAAAACTGGATCCACAGCTCATTTCACATAACAGAAATAAGTTTAACTGGATTAAGTACTTTTTTTTTGGTAGTTATAGATGGACAGAATGCCTTTATTTAATTTATTTTATTTATTTTTATGTGTGCTAAGGACTGAATACATGCCAGGCAAGCACTCTGCCACTGAGCTAGAACCCCATCCCTAAAGACTTATTTTTTAAAAACAAAATTATCTAGGGATAAACATGGGTGAATTCCTTTACTGAGTAGAGGGAAATATTTTCTAAGTATTTCTCCTAAAAATTTCTTTTAAAACTCCAGGTATAAACTGGATGCAGTGGTGCATGCCTATAATTCTAGTGGCTCAGGAGGCTGAGGGAAAAAAAGGGCTTGGGGTGTTGCTCAGTAGTTAAACACACCTAGGTTCAAACCCCAATACAAAAAAAAATTAAAAGAAACCTTCAGCTATATTCAAAAGAAAAAGTAAAAAAAAAAAAAAAAGATTATTAGCAACATATATGTATTTATTTTTAAACCTAATTCTTAAAAATCAAGGGAACAATAACTTYAAGAATAAAATACTTAGGATTATAAATTTATTCATAAATTTACAGCAACAAACTTAACTGTATATCACATATCCCATAACCCATCCGATACCATTTCTGGAAATTCTTCCTACACAACAGAACCCTATAAAACATTAAGTCCAAAGTTGTTCATTATAACATTACATAGTATGAAACAAGAAAATTTCAGAAAAAACATTCTACTGTAGGCTGGTAAAATAAAACAAGAAACTAGAATATAAATCTAAGCCCATGCAATTATAAAAAGGAATGAATTCTCTCTGACTGACCAGTTTATGGAAAAACTTCCTAATAGTTAAGTGAAGTAAAATCAAGTGTACAACAATATATATTTGTTACTTAATATGAGAAAAATAAAATATATATTTTCATATCCTTGGAAGGGCATAGAGAAAAACTATTTCATTATTTATGGTGCCAGGTGAACACATGAAAGAAAGTAAGTTTTCTCATCACATAAATTTTTACATTTATTTCTGAAAGATACAAATGTATTATTCATTCAAAATATAAAATTTTAAAAACATTAAAAAGAGAGAAACATAAATCTTTTAAAAAATTTTCCCACTTCCTTTTCTTTAGTTTTGGTACTTGTTTTCAACCTACCTCCTAGGGGATGGAGACCTAGAAGACTTCCTTTTTATGTTTTTTGACATTCTTGGTGATCTGGAAGAACTCCTGCTCCTTCTCCTCCGCCTTTCCCTAAAAGCCAAAAATGTCATTTTAAAACACAATTGAAATAAAGAGAAATTCAAAAACACAAAAGCAAAAGGGTCCTTGGTTGAACTCTCAATTGAGTAGTACTCCTCATAAGCCATTTTGTTTATTATAGTTTACTACTCTTCAGCCCCTTTAAAGGCCAGTTTAAACTCAAATACTTTATAAACGTGTTCTACCACATAATTTTAGGGTAAGTCAAATTATGAGCCATAAATTTTATAGAGGACAAAAACTTTACCCCTAAGATTTAATATCAGAAACGATGGAGAGCCTCCATAACCATGTGATATATCTAAACAATAATTTCTTGAATAGAAAAAATATTGATGATTCAGTCTCTCAAATGTCTTTCTCTGAATCTAAAACACATTTTGCCTACTAGATTCTTTATCATGCATCTAGCTCCTTGCTGCCCCACTGTGGATTATTTTGTAACAAAACAACAGGTTCTTCAAGAACTGAAGGATAAATTAGTCCGMAAAACGTAAACAAATTAGTCTCAAGCATTAGAATGTCTTCAAAAAAGTATTTAAATCACTATAAAGAAATTGCTTTTCCTCTCCAACCTCCATTTATTATTGCTGTTTTATTAATTTAAAACTAAGTACACAGGTTGCTTAAATATAGGAAAAATAGTTAAAATCTGGGATTTAAATATGGTCAACTAAGAAATACACATATTAAGTATTTATTATTAAAATTATTTTGCTTAACATTAGTAAATGATATATACATAAAATTACTTTTTATGAGTGATCCACTTAGAAACAAAGAACTTCACCATGTCCATGATCCAAGGGAAAAAACAATGTATTTATTAAATGTCAATGAATCTAATGATACCCTTTCTTAAGGAGCACTGATAATCAGAAACCACAGAGATGAAATAAATCAATCCTCTGGATTTCAATTTTTCTTTACCATCTTATATTTTTCTTTCTTTTTTTTTTTTTGAGAGAGAGAGAGAGAGAGAGAGAGAGAATATTTTTAATATTTATTTTTTAGTTCTCGGCAGACACAACATCTTTGTTGGTATGTGGTGCTGAGGATCGAACCCGGGTTGCACGCATGCCAGGCGAGCACGCTACCGCTTGAGCCACATCCCCAGCCCATYATATTTTTCATTTGTAAAATTAATGCCTACATTATTAGTGGTACATAGGGCAGATATTTTAGACAACCAAAAAAGCTCAAGAGCTTTGAGAACATTAAGTATCATTCAACCCAAGTCTGGTTTGATTGGTTTTGTTGTTGTTTTGGTACTGGGATTGAACCAAGAGGTGCTCTACCACTGAGCTACACCCTCAGCCTTTTATTTTTTTATTTTAAGACAGGATCTCAATAAAAGCTGCTGAGGCTGAACTCGAACGTGCAATCCTCCTGCCTCAGCTTTTCAAGTCGCTTAAGGAATTATAGGCATGAGCCACCATTCCCGGTCCAAGTCTGGTTTTATTCAACTAGAAATAAAAATAAATAACTCACACCTTACACAGTTGCTATGAGGATATAGAATAATACYTATAAAGTTCATTGAGTCTGACACATAGTAGGTACTCAATAAATATCTTCTTCCTTTTTAAAAAATGTCTTTTGGTGCTAGGGATTAAGCCCAGGGTCTCACACATGCTAGGCAAGCTCTCTAACACTGAATTACACCTTCAGCCCTCTTCTTCCTTTTCTTGGTTTCATCTTTATTGACAATAACTTTAAAGCATTAAAAGTTTTAAAAGTCAAATTTTTCTGGAAAAAAAATATATACAGATTAGGAGACATTCAAAAAGTCTTTTAACAATTGGTTCAATGTGCTGGAAATGTAACAATATTTCTTTTTATTTTGATCCCCATTTTAATACATATACAATTGCTTTCAACTTTATGGTTCTCAGGTACATTTTAAAAGCAGGCAATAAATTACAGAATTCTCAAATTTGCCAAGCACAAAGGAGTAATTCCAACTACTCATGAATGTGAGGCAGGAGGATCACAAATTCAAGGCCAGCCTAGGCAACTTAGATGCTGTTTAAAAAAATAAAAACTAAAAAAGGGTGGGGATCTAACTCAGTGRTAAAGCACTCCTGGGTACCACCCCAGTACCACCCCCCCACACACACAAAATAAAATGCTAAAACAATCTCTACAAAGAAGGAAAAGAGTTAAAAGATACTAAAATACACAAAAGACGGCTAATTTCCTATAGTTTCCCAGTTCCTCATATTTTACAACAATGATAATAATAGTTTTCTCATGAGCCTACTCTAAGGACTAAGTAAAGGAAGACAAAAAAGTGAGACATAATACATAGCACATGGGAAAGCACCCAATAAATGCCTACAATTATCTCTAAATATTAATCAGAGGCTAATATTAAGAGAAAACTACAAAAACATTTTAAAAATAGGAAATAATATTCTTTAATTGTTTTCTATGAAAACCATCTTTAAAATTTGCTAAAAATACATAAAATATTTTTAAGAGATAGGTTAACACAAATCAGAAACTTCCAGTTATTCACAATTATGGTATTATTTAGAATAATGGATTTGGGTTTAAATAACCTTGAGGAAGGTTCTCATTTTGCAGCTGTTTCTATGGCAACCTGCTGCCGCCTGGTGGCAGTGTACTTATTAATAAATTGAGAACTTTTTTTTTGGACAGTGCTAAGGGGAAAAAAACTAACCCTTAAAATTAACAAATGAAGAATTCAAATTTAAATGTCATGCACTCAACATGAGAGGTAAAAYTTAACTCACATGATGGAAAGAACTAACAATCATTTTGCATATTAAAATTYCCCATGACATTCTTAAGAAAGGCGCCTAAGAGGTCAATTCTTCTATTTCTTTTCTTTTTTTTTTTTTAATATTTTTTAAATTGTAGATGGACATGATATCTTTATTTTGATTTATTTTTATGTGGTGCTAAGGATCGAATCCAGTGCCTCACGTGTATTAAGCAAGTGCTCTACCACTGAGGCACAACTCCCTACTCCTCTATTTCTTAATACCTTCCCTGATATTCTACCTTCTAAGAAAATAACAACACTGATAATAATTAGCTGGGCTAAAAATAGTATACTTCGAAATTTAGCTAAAACTAAATAATCTTGCAGAATATCATCTCTTCCTCCTCACAGGCTCAACACTGTGGCAATTCACAGAGAAAACATTTACTTTCCAATTACAAGAAAATGTTCTGCCCTTACTGTACTGGTTCTACTTGTATACAATAACCTTTCCCCCCTCAGTTAAACACTTATGTTTTAATTTGTTATCAGTAAACCCTTGACCAAAAAATTCAGACATTATCAAACCTGCTGGAACTACGAGATCTTCTTGATGCATTATAACTTCTGGGTGGTGTTCGGGATTTTTTATCCTTCTTTCTTTTTTCATCTATTTCTTTGGATCTGTCCTTTTCTCGTTCTTTCTCTTTGTCCTGGTCCTTTTCTTTCTCTTTGTCTCGCTCCTTTTCATGCTCTTTTTCTCTGTCTCTCTCTTTTTCCTTTTCTTTGTCCTTTTCCCGGTCCTTTTCTCGATCTTTGTCCCGGTCTTTGTTTTTCCCCCGTTCCTTTTCTTTTTCACGCTCTTTTTCCCTTTCTCTCTCTTTTTCCCTTTCCTTTTCTCTATCCTTCTCTTTCACTCTTTCCTTTTCCTTGATCTTTTCTCGAGTATCTTTTCTCTTGTCCCTTGAAAAATAAGCAAAAATAAATAAATGTATAACTAAAAAAATTCTACCCCCCCCAAAAGACATCCCTCCCTCTTTCCTCAACAATTACCAACACAAAACAATTTACAATGGCTCAAGACATTATATATGCATTTCTATATAATCCAGTGTACATGAAGCTGCAAAATGAAGTGATTACCAGGCTGAGTTGAGTAGTTTGGAAACCTCATGAGTCAGTGGCAATCAATATTAATCCTAGATTACTAAAACAATCAGAAAAAGAGTTTTATTTCTCATCCAAAGCCTAAATCACAGCAGAAAAGCCAATAATAAAACCAATGAAAAGATTATCCCTAATTTTTCTAAAACTCACCGAGAACGTGAACGACTCCTTGACTTCCGTCTTTCCCTTGATTTAGAGCGTTTTTTATGTGGGCTCTTAGATCTACGTCTATCTTTCTGTCTTGAACGGGATCTGTTATGGGATCTACTCCTGAAGAAATAAATTATTAAAAATCAAAACTTATTGTTAGAATTTCATTTTTTAAAAAAAGTCTTTCAAAATAAGAGAATTTAAAAATCCATCTTAACTCTATTTATCAACTTTTAAAAATTCTTTCTTATATAATGCTTTGGTTACATTACCAGAAAGAGTTTACTTATTTGAAACTTTACCAGATATTTCACYGTCTAGAACACAAGTTGATATTTTCTGGTATGGCTTTCTTTTGCAACAAATTATTACATGCCATGCCACAAATTAACAAAGAAGATTTTAAGAAGATTTTTCCCATCGTCCAAGTTTTCACACCAAAAACTGTCTTTCACTTGACTGTTACCTGGTTATGACACCTTGATGGGGAGTAGTGGTTATATGGTTCACTTCTACAAATTGTGTACTATTTATCATAATAAACATTAAGAGAATATGTACAAGGAAACAAACTGGAGAGTGGATGTGACAGGAAAACAAAAATCATTTTGCATGAGGTAAAACTACATAAAATCAAAATATTAGATTTGTGTTGCCTCTGTGTTAAAGCTGTAAACTATGACCACAGCTATTAAAAGAATGGAATTAAATTAAATTAATGGAATTCTTCCAAGGAAAAATACCTGTTATTTCAATTTTGATTAGTCCCTCTTTCCCCACTGAAATAACTGTATTTTTAAATACTTTTTTTCCCCACAATGAGCTAATTCAGGCACTATTTATTAAAATACAACAAAACAGATGCACTCAACTTAAAATAACAAAGTGATAAGACTCACCAGCTTTGAAGTCTGACAATCTGGCTCTAAAGCACAACTCTGCCACACACTAGCTGGCAGAGAACTAGCAAGTCACTAACCTCTCTAACTCTGCATTTCTTCATCTATAAAGTGGAATCAGAATCACACTTATTTACCTATCATGAGGATTAATTAGATGATGTATGTAAAACTGACTTGCAGTCTCTGGCACAGAGTAAACACTTATCTCAATTCTTGGTATTATTATAGCCATCATAAAAAATAACACAGTTTAACATAAATGTAAACTTTAAATCTTTATTTATTCCAAGGAGGTCAAATGAACTTCCACAAGTACACTGTACATAATATACACAAATATCTATAAGAGAAATATATAGTTAAATGGTCATGCTTGGGGCATGCTATAAAACCAGAAACAACTCCAGTTCCGTTACTAATATATTTTTCAGTTAGTCCAATTGTTTTGGATTTTTTTCCCCTCAGCACTGGGGATTGAGCCCAGTGGTACTCTACCACCAAGCTACCTCCACAGCCCATTTTGTGTTTGAGATGTGGTCTTGCTAAAAATGTTGAGTCAGCCTCAAACTCAAAATCCTCCTGCCTCAGCTTCCTAGGTAGCTGGGATTATTGGTATGCACCACCCTCACCATGCTCTTACAGCTAATTTTTAACTGCTCATCTATTATACAGCTGTAAAGATAATGCACYTGAGGAAAGAAAATAATTTTTAAAAATGCATCTGTCTTTATAACATTTTTTTAATACAATAAGATAATTCTGAGTTCGCTGAAGTATTTACCACTAAAAACCTAAGAGACATGAAGGTCAAGTAGCAGGTATTAAGGCAGATTTAAAAGTTAGAGCATTCTTAGTCCATTTACAGATGTTCACATTGTTTCTATGTACTCAGTAAAAAAGCTTGAGACTATTCTAATTAACCTTGCTAAAAATATAAACAATTCTTTTGTTTCCTCAAAGCAGTRTTTTTCAAAAATAATTAAGCAAGGAAACTTGTTTTAAAAAATTAAGGGTAGCCCTAATAAATTTAGTTAGTAATAAAGAACTGATCACTTGGTTTCTTATCCTGTAGGTTCTGAGAGCTCACGTCACTGCTGAGGAGTAATTATTATACTTTAATTTTGACATTAAATCTTTTCAGGTCTATCCCACCCTCTAGTACGTTTTTTAATTAAGAATACTAAAACATTCAAGAGTAGGTCTAATCCAACCAAAGACAAACACTTATTAGTTAATTTTTTAAATAATTTACAAAATTATATTTTAAAATTAAATTGTAAATAAATAGCAACTTACCCTCACGCTGTATCAAAGTTCCTTTGTAAATCAGTTCTTTTCCATTAAAACATTACAAAATGTCTTATAGTTCCTATGCTGGTCTGTAAAGGTTACTTAACTTAAAAACATAACAATTCTTGGGCTGGGGTTGTGGCTCAGCAGTTGAGTACTTGCCTCGTATGTGTGAGGCACTGGGTTCAATCCTCAACACCACAAAAAAATAAATGAACAAAATAAAGGTATCTGTTCATCTACAACTAAAAAAAAWTT